TATTTTTATTATTTTCTTTTAATTCTCTAATTTCAAATTTTAATATATTTATATCATTTCTTGTATCTCTTACTTCATTTTTAAATCTTGTATATCATTTAGTAACATTTTTATTAATGACTTTAATTCTTCCATATATTCACTTATTGACATATTAAAATCATTTTTCTAACATATAAGTTAATTTACACATTTTATCTATTATTTTCCCAAATCTTTTATTGGCTATATCTGAATCTATTAATTCTTCTTTTACTATACTAAAATATTTATTCTCATGTCTTAATATTTCACATTTTAATTTTATTAATTATCTTTTATTTGATACTCTTATTTCTTCTAGTATTAACATTATATTTCGTATTTCTTCTTGTATTCTTTCCATTTTTATAAGTAATTTATTTAATTTTAAATTTGTATTATCACTTACACTCATACTTCTCTTTGTAATATAAATTAATTTCTTCATATTCATATATATTAATAATTTTTTCATATGCATATATATCCTTTATTGTTTCTATTATTAATTTTTCTAATATTTGTTCTTTTATTTCTCTAGATAATTTTTTAATCATTGTTAGTGTCATTATTTTTAATTTATTATGAATAGGTTTTAAAAATATATAACTTCCCCTTTCTTCTTTTAAATGCCAATAATTATCTATTTTCCTTACGTTTAATTTCCATGATCTCTATGCTTTTATCAAGATGTAATTATAAGTATTTGTACATTATAATTAATTATTATTTTAAAGACGTATAATCTAAATCTAAGGATTTTTATTTTTTCAAGTAATCATTTTTTTTATGGGTTTCCTCATGATCTCTATGACTCTGATAACAATTAAGGGAGGGCGAGGGGGCCTACTTAGAGTAAACAAAAATCATATAAATCAAAAAATCACATAAAAAAAAAAGCTATCAAAATCCAAGTAATATTTAATTTTAAGGACTAAACTAGAAAATTTCTATATTATAGTGACTTATTATGTAATATTTAAATGAAGGGTATTTTAGATATGTAAATTGACCAAATGTCATTTTGAAAAAATTGGCCCTTTTCTATAGGCTATTTTCATGTATTTGAACATAAGTCATCCTGGGGCAGCAAAGTTTACTCCAGGGTCCAAAAGTTTTTGTAGAGCCGAGTGTTTTGCCCAATAAAAATAATTTTTCAGGCCAAATTTGGCTGAAAATTTTCGAAAAATATGCACACCTCTAAATTTTTTGATAATCTCTGAGAAGGCCATAACCGGTGAAGCACGAACACTCATCGGAGTACATTTTTTTTTTTTTTTTGATATTCGGAATTTCCAATACACACAGACACAATAAAGCCATCCGACATAAAAATTACCATCTAACTTCAACTGTCCTATAACCTAGCGTAAGCCTGAAAAGAGAAAAACTAAACAAGAAAACTGAAATAGATATTATGGATTTAATAAATAATCCATATTACCGAAGCAATTAATAACACGAAATAAGCAAAAGCAAAGCAAGAAACACACATGATTTAAGGTGCTTCACTCTCAATGTAAGAGCTGCTGCAACTGGTGCCAATAAGAAAAGTGTACAGAATATTAGGCTCACAAAACAATAGATCATGCCCCTTAAGGGGAAAAAAGGCTTGTGCTTCATCACTGGTGAACTTAATAGTTTTTACTCTTTTTAACAAATGTTATAACCTCATCCATCCGTAAAACCATATGACTTTTTTTCATTGGATATTCAACTTGCTCTCTAATGTCAAGTCTACCTTCACTATCAAGACCAAAAAAGAATCATGCCGGATAGGATTTTGTATGAAGAAAGTCAAAAAAGGTAAGGCGTCATTTACCTCTATTCCACTAAATAACGATGCGAGCAATAAATTGAACCAGCAAATAGAATTACTAGTTTGGACAAAGCACAGGGATCATGCAACCAGGAATCTCCACAATGGAAAACACCTATACTAATGACAAAAACATTTCTTGAGGCCACGTACAACTTCATATACAATGGCCCTCCATCATAATACTCTTATTACCTTAATGATAATGAATGTTTAAGTAAATAAACCACGCTTACTAAGCCTACTCTATTAAAAACCCTTAACAACAATGATTGTTGTCCATACGACGACTCGTTGAATGGAACATTTGGCGACAAACAATAGTAATGATGCAAGAAAGCAGTAATTATGGCAGCCGTATCACTTAGAATGAGCACTGCATTTACCTCGCATTGAAGCACATGCGATTCAATTGATCTTCTGTAGGTTTCTAAAGCCCCAGTGGGGACTGTATAGAAGAGGTTCTCCTGCAAATTAACAATTGAAAGGAAAACGGGTAAGCAAACCAAGCACAAATAATAGCTCCAACAACATAACATTGCAGCGACGTGCATCCTTATAACACACTGAATCATGTATTCATACTAAGGACATATAAGGAATGTGATGCGATAATCAACAGCAGTGGAGGAAGAAAGAGATTACAGAATCGGGTACATATGCAATAAAATATGTAAAAGATATGCAGGGTTGCTTCATACTTCTGTCAAATGATCCTTCCATGACACGTCCAAGAATCCCGTATCAAATATTCTGTCTGGAGTCACTGGAGCCTCAGCTTCGCTGTGAATGATATCTAAGTTGTTATATTTCAGAAATCTTACTATATACAGTTGAATGCCAAGTGCAACATCCTTTTCAGGACATTGCTGCTCCAGTTTTTTGCTTGTGTCCTGCCATGCCACCAAAATGTCAAATATTACTAACTAGAACTCCAAAATACCCCGTCTCCCCCATTAAAGATGCATATATAGATCAATAATGATGTTAAAGATCTTATTCAATTTAACCTACAAACAGTCGAGGACAAAGACAAATAATCTCATTTGCAACATAAGAGAACATGGACACAAATTCCGCAGGTCAGCCCAGACAAAAAGAAAAGGGATATGAATGCAAATAAAAAATTGATGTGAAACAACAAGTCATTGAACTCACACATTCTCAACTGCAATTGGTGAGAAACAAGACGAAGAACTTCCAATTCGTACTGAAGTCTCTCAGAATGATGCTTTAAAAAACTATAGGCATCTGAAATAGGTCGGTCCTTTAACATGAAATTTCATTGCCTCATTGTCTAGCACAAGGGGCACAACATTCAAAATTCATCCTGATTATAAGGACAATTCTAATCAGATATGAAAGAGCAAAAAGCAGAGATATATTCTGGTTAATTCTAGGGAGATTGGAAAAACAGTCTCTAATGTACGAACATATACAGAAATTATTCCACCAAATCTGCTTGTTGCCTCGTATAATTCATTAGCCAACAGATCCGTTCGGCTGGTCTTCAACTTATACCAAGCTCCGAACAGTACTAAAGAAGGAATACAATTGAGAAACTTAAACAAAATTATAACTTGGTCAGAATCTTATTTACTTTTAAAGCAATAAGTATACATGAAATAAAGCTTGAACCACAACCACTGCCCATAATTGAATGAGATACTCATGCACATTGATATATGAAACATAACATCTCACATCAAACGATTAAATTCCATAAAAACAACCCACAAAAAGAACAACACAAAAACTTTATGAATACCTCTACTGAACGCCAGAACTTCATGACAGCTTTTGCCAAGGAATGAGCAACTTTCTTTACCTTAGTACGTAAACTATCTTCTTTGTTAGGAAAATGTTGTAATTGGCAATCTGTGACCAAAAGGACTAATTTGTCGAGTTTGTAGAGTCAAGGACCAATTTGTCAATGTCTAAAAGTTCAGGGACTTGTGTTGCAATTTCGCAATAATTAATGTATAGGTCTAGGGTAAAGTTGGATGCTTTGAAGATGAAAACGGCTCAAGATTGGTGCTAGAGTTTCGCCCTGACCTCGCTCGAGCCTAAATAACAGAACCTACGTCGCTGGAGTTTCGCTACCACTTCGCTCGAGCGAGAGTGCGTTGCTAGAGTTTCGGCGACACTTAGCTCGAGCGACAGTGTCATCCGGCGTTTGGTAATTTTCCTTCCTTGCGAATTTTGAACACTCCATACTACCAAAAACGACCTAGTATATAAACAAAAATTTCGCTTCTCATTAACAACCTTTGGCAAAACACATAGCACAATATTTTCCTCTCTACCAAAGGATCAATTGCAAAACTCTTCACCATATGATTCATTGAAGGGAAAAAAAAACATCAAACACCTTTTCAAACAAAACACCTATCAAAAATCCTCACTACTTCCAGAAGATCAGTTGATTGAAGATCCGGGAAGGAGGTTGATTGAAGAACTGGATTTCTTGTTGATTCACGGGAAATAGAAGAAACACAAGGCTGGGATTTTGGCGCAGATCTGCAGAATCCAGGAGAGCTTTGGTTGATACAGTAAGGAGGTCAGAGTGTTGTTAGATACAGTCATGTCTGGCATACTGTAAGTTGGAGTCTTCTATAGTGAATCCCTGCTGGCTTGTGCCCGGAGTTTTTACCCAGTTGGATTTTCTCCGTCAACAATTTTTGTGTTATTTATTGCTTCTGTCAATTTCAATTCAACCGGCAATTCAACATAGGTAGTTAAATCAAGTGAATGAATCTGGACAACGTTTAATTTATGTGACTTGTTGCATAACTTAATTAAATTGTTAAATTCCGCATAGACACCTATTCACCCCCCTCTAGGTGTTGGTTGGGTCGAACTATAGCCTTTTCAAGTGGTATCAGAGCCAAATCTCGAGTCCTGACCCATAGTTGTCTAGATGAGTCAATCACTTTCTGTACCTCCGTACTTTGACGGAAGTAATTATGCTTACTGGAAGGTTAGAATGCGTGCGTTTCTTAAGTCCTTAGATGAGCACGTTTGGTTGAGTGTGCAAAATGGCTGGAAACCTCCCTCCACTATCGTATCAGGAACTGTTAACCTTACTGATATATCACTGTAGACTAAGGATGAGATAGCTGAGTGTAATTAGAATAGCAAGGGACTTCATGCCTTGTTTATGGCCGTGTCTCCCGAAGATTTTTGGAGAGTGTCAATGTGGGAAATTGCTAAAGAGGTGTGGGATATTCTTGAAACTACACATGAGGGAACTAAAATGGTAAAGAACTCGAAATTACAAATGCTAGCTTCTAGGTTTGAAGAAGTGAGGATGAAAGATGACGAAACCTTTGATGAATTTTATGCAAAATTGAATGATATTGTTAATTCTAGTTTCAATTTAGGCGAGAAAATTCCCGAGTCTAAAATTATTAGAAAAGTACTTAGGTCCTTGCCCGAGAGATTTAGGCCTAAAGTTACTGCCATTGGGGAAAGTAAGGATCTAGATGAAGTTAAAATTGAAGAACTTGTAGGATCCTTGCAAACTTATGAACTCACTATCACACAACCTAAGAAAGGAAAGTTCATTGCTTTAAAATCCATCAAAGAGGATGAATCTTCCGATACTGAGTCTCTGAGGGACGATGAAATTGCTTACTTTGTGAAGAAATTTCAAAAGGCTCTCAAGAATAGGAGAAAGCCTCAGGATAGAAAAAGTGGAGTCCCTAGCAGATTCTCAAAAGAAAAAACTGAAAGGTTTAACAATAAAAGTTCTAGTGATAAACCACGTTTGGTTAGGTGCCATGAATGTCAAGGTATAGGTCACTATAGGAATGAGTGCCCTAGTTATAAGAAGAATCAAAGAAAATGGCAGGGTAAGGCCTTAGCCGTTTCATTTACTGATAACGAGTCTGAGACCAGTGATAGGCAGGAGTCATCTAGTAGTGAAGATAAAGGGAACTATATGGCATTTGTGTCGACTATTAAGAGTGAATCTGATAAGGAGAGTGACAAGGTTGAAGAAGAACTTTACAACAATAATTCTAGTAATGAGGATGAGGATGACATAAACATACATGAGGCCTACCAACTCTTGTTCAAGGAGAGTCTTAAAATCAAAAAGATCAATAAAGCCCTACTCAAAAAGGTTGATGAACTTGAAAGAGAAAAAGAGAAACATGCTAGTAATCTCCAGAATTCACTTAAGAGTGCCAGTGAGTTAAAATGTGTCAATGAGAAGTTGGAAGACAAGGTTAAGACATTAACTAGTGAATTGGAAAAATCTAATGCTCATCTTCAGACTTTCATAAGTGGAACTAAGAAATTGGATGATATTTTAGGAATGAATAAGCCTACGGGAGATAGGAAAGGTCTAGGATTTGTTGAGGGTAATACACATGGTGCTGGTCCATCTAAAACTGTATTCATTTCTGCCTCTAGGAAGTCTAACGCTGTCAACAGTCCAAATAAGGATAAGAATGTTTCGAGGGAACAAAGTCATCAATCATGTAGAAATTTTATGCCCAAACACCCACAGACATGTACCTTTGAGCCTAGCTTCATTCCCACCTATCACCACTGTGGAGCTCTAGGACACACTAGGCCTAGATGTTATAAGTTAGGCAATGAGCGTAGAAATCAGAATATTCCAAGTCAGGTCAGTTTTCTGACTAATCAAGTTAGTCATTTGACTGAGATGCTTACTAGGCTGACTAGGATTACCACGTCATCTAAGAAAGTTTGGGTTAAAAAGGAGGATCTAGCTGGACTTTCAGGTCAGGTAAATTGCTATGGTGCTCATGTTGCATTAAAAGCCCAAGATTTCAATATGTGGTACCTTGATAGTGCTTGTTCTAGGCATATGTGTGGTAACAAGGCTTTATTCACTACTCTTGATGAATGCAATAGGGGTATGGTTACCTTTGAAGATGGGGGCTCTGCACCTATTTTTGGCAAAGGTACTATACAAATACATGGATTACCTGTGATCTCAAATGTGCTTTATGTGGAAGGTTTAAAGTCGAACTTGTTAAGTATTAGTCAGATTTGTGATGCTAGTTTTGAGGTTAGCTTTGTGGAAAAGAGATGTACCGTGTATGATTCATTCAGTGGGGGTGGTCCTTGAAGGGGTTAGAACGTCTGATAACTGTTATGGAGTCCTACCTAATTCTAACTATGTGTGTAGGAGTGCAAAAATTGATGTGAGTGAACTCTGGCATAAAAGATTGGGTCATTTAAACTGTAAGAGTCTAGTACAACTGGCTAAAAAGGAGTTGGTAGATGGTTTGCCTAAAATAGGTCCTAGTGAAAATGTTGTGTGTGGACCATGTCAACTGGGTAAACAAATTAAAGGAATCCATAAAAAGACTTCTAAAATTTTGACCAAAAGACCACTGGAATTGATACACATGGATTTAATGGGACCATCTAGGACTGAGAGTCTAGGAGGTAAGCGGTATATTCTGGTTGTGGTTGATGATTTCTCGAGGTTCACATGGGTAGAACTGCTTAGGGAAAAATCTGATGCATGTGACCTTATAAAATCTTTGTGTAAACGGCTTAGTAATGAACTCAATCACAAAGTGTCCAGAATGCGAAGTGATCATGGAAAAGAGTTTGAAAATTTCAATCTTGAGAGCTTCTGCATGGATGAAGGGATACTACATGAGTTCTCTTCCCCTATCACTCCTCAACAAAATGGGGTGGTTGAAAGGAAGAATCATGTTCTTCAGAACATGGCTAGAGCCATGCTTCATGACAAGGGGCTATCCTTACATTTTTGGGGAGAAGCTGTTAATACTGCATGCCACATAATCAATAGACTCTACTTTAGACCCAAAACCGATCAGACTCCATATGAGATTCTAAAGGGTAAAAAGCCTATTGTCAAATACTTTCGTGTGTTTGGGAGTAAGTGCTACATTTTGCATGATAGAGAGAACTTGAGTAAGTTTGAATCTAAGAGTGACGAAGGAATCTTCTTAGGGTATTCTAGAAATAGTCGAGCATTCTGAGTATATAACTCACGTACTCGTACTGTGATGGAGTCAGTCAATGTTGTGATAGATGATGGTGTGAGTGAAGGGGAGAATGTTGAAAATTATGATAGAAATGGTAATCTTATAAGGTCTAGTGATCCTGCTGAACCGCTTCTGCCTGAATCATCTCTTAAAATTCCTGAAACTCCTAAAAAGGAAACACATCCACAAGATCAAGACACAATCCCTAAGGAACCATCAACTAGGGTCAAGTCTAATCATCCTAAGGATAATATCATTGGGGATCTGGATAAAGGTATGAGGCTTCGTAAGAGAGTACTGAACAATCTAGCATATACTAGCTATGTTTCATAGGTAGAGCCTAAGAAAGTCGAAGAGGCCCTTAGTGATGAGTTTTGGGTAAATGCAATGCATGAGGAACTCAATCAATTTGCTAGAAACAATGTGTGGATCTTAGTACCCAGACCTGAGAATTGTAACGTTATTGGTACTAAGTGGATCTTTAAGAACAAGACAGATGACCAAGATACTATAACTAGGAATAAGGCCAGATTAGTTGCTCAGGGTTATACTCAAGTTGAGGGAATTGATTTTGATGAGACTTTTGCCCCTGTTGCACGACTTGAGTCTATTCGGATTCTGCTTGCTGTTGCCTGTACCTTAGGGTTCAAGCTACATCAAATGGACGTTAAGAGTACCTTCTTGAATGGACTTCTTCAAGAAGAAGTCTATGTGGAACAACCAAAAGGATTTGTTGATCCAAAGTTGATCCAAAGTTTCCCCACTATGTCTACAAACTCCACAAAGCACTCTATGGTCTGAAACAAGCTCCTAGAGGTTGGTATGAGAGACGTACGTCATATCTTGAGGAACATGGTTTCTCTCGAGGTGGTGCTGATAGGACCTTATTTATTAGACACATTGAAGAAACTATCACTATCGCTCAAATTTATGTCGATGACATCATTTTTGGTTCTCCTATTGAGTCTCTAGCAAATGAGTTTGCCGAGTGTTTGAAGCAAGAATTTGAGATGAGTATGGTTGGTGAGTTGAGTTATTTCCTTGGACTTCAGGTGAAATAGATTGAGGATGGCTTGTTTATTTCACGGTCTAAGTATGCAAAGGATCTAGTTAAGTGGTTTGGGTTAGATAGTAAGAAGCATACTAGGACACCTATGAGTACTAGCTTGAAGTTAGGTCGTGATCTTTCAGGTAAGAGTATAGATCCTTCCCTATATCGAAGCATGATAGGTAGTCTTCTCTATCTCACAGCTACTAGACTTGACATTGCTTTTAGTGTTGGAGTGTGTGCTCAATTTTAGGCAGATCCCAAAGAATCACACTTAAGCTCTGTTAAACGCATCATTAGATATGTGAGTGGTACTGTTGATCTAGGGATTTTCTATTCTAGAAATTCTAATCTTGATTTGGCTGGCTACTCCGACGCCGATTGGGCGGGGAATGCAGATGATAGAAAAAGTACTTTTGGGGGCTGTTAGCAATCTAGTAGCCTAGTTAAGTAAGAAACAAAATTCCATATCCCTATCCACGGCAGAGGCCGAATACATAGCAGTTGGAAGTTGCTGCACTCAGCTTCTCTGGATGAAGCAGATGCTGAGTGATTATGGGATTAATCAAGGGACCATGACCGTTTTCTGTGATAATACCAGTGCTATAAATATTTCTAAGAATCCCATTCAACATTCTCGAACAAAACATATTGACATACGACATCATTTTATTCGTGAACTTGTTGAAACACAAGTTGTCTCCTTAGATCATGTTTCTACTGACAACCAATTAGCCGATCTACTTACGAAACCACTAGATGGGATGAGGTTTGAGTCGCTTCGGACGGCTGTTGGTATTTTTTTGCCTATTTGATCATGAATTCATGCATATTTATGCATTTATCATATTTGCACTTATTCATTTCATATCTTGTATGTGATAAATGTGTGTGTGGTGCATTTTGTTTGTTAGTTTTTTTTTTGTTTTTATTTTGAGTATTAAGTTTGCATTTGAAATTTAAAATTAAAAAAAAAATTAAAAAATAAATAAAATAAATAAATAAATTTTTTGTGTGCATCGTGTATGACGTTATGATGTTTGCATTCAGGATCAAACTCTATTTTTCATCATGTGTACGAGTCTGAGGTTTCATCGTAATTCTCACTTTCTGTGGAGTTCTTAGTATACGGCTCGTCATGAATTTTCGCATAGCACACACTGTAGTCCTGTAGGTGGGTCTTGACCGCATGGGTGAGACTTGGGATGGTATTCTTCTGTGATTGGGGTTGTTTGTCCATTTGACTTGATCTGTGACGAGTGTAACCTAATCAATATTGTCTTTCCCCATTTTCTACATTATTCTTTGAACTCATTTCTGTCTTCGGAGCCTATTTGACTCGAACAATTAAGCTTTAGGGGTTTCTAACCTGGTGCCCTATAGTCGTCTGGCTTAGGAGTCACCGGCCCAAAGTTCGTTACATGGGTCATTTCTGTCGCCTAATGAAGATAGGATTGCACCTAAGTTCTTATGTTATATATATATATATATATAATAAAAAAATGGCATACAGTTAGGAGGCATAAAATTGTGACAATTATACTGTTTGATATAGGTCCTCATGGAATTGGATTTAACTGGCACTTGGTCAATATACACTCTTTTACAGTTATTTTTAACGTGTCCTTTCTCACTAATTTAAGGTTTTGAGTCTAACTTGCACGGACTACGTGGCACATTTCACGCTGATGTTTTGTATAAAATTTACTTCATGGGATTTTGAACTATGTGTGGACTTAAGATTTGTCTACATGCTCTGAATGTCGGGTTTGTGAGTTTGTGCATATTATTCGTATCGTCTACATATTTGGGTACATGCTTTATCATCGATTTTTTAGTTTGTCTTTACAAAAACAAAAAATAATAATAATACATACAACTGAAAATAAAAATAAAAGTTTTTGGACCTATTTTCGTTAGTTTCCAAAATTGTGCTACTTTTCATAAATTTCAAATGTTTGGTGCTATGTTTGACATTTCATTTTCGCTCGAGTCTCGCCTGGACTTCGCTCGAGCGACAAAAGCAGAAAGGATGTCGCTCGAGTTTTGCCCCGGTCTCGCTCGAGCGACATATATATTTAAAATATGGCTGTTTCAATTTTTCGCACATTTCATCATTTGTTTTCCTCCTCCTTCAATTCTTTTCTTCTTCCATCGAAATTATTCACTCCTAATTCATTTTTGGCCTCAATTCGACATCTTTAACACAATCTTGGGTCTGAAACACTGACTTCTTGGCAAAATCTTTAGGTAATTCCCAACTTTCTTTGCTTTCAATTTTTTTTGGTTTGTTTGATTTCTTTTCTTGATCATTGTGTTGATTTGTGTTATTTGGCATTACATCTTGCTTGTACACATGTTTTTGCATCAAGTATTGCTTTCCATTTCCCAAATTATAGTGCATTCCTATGGTTTTCTTCACATTTTTTAAGTTTTTGGTCCATGTTCATCAATGTAGTTCTTGCACCTCGTTGATTCGTTTGATGTGTGGTTTGTTTGATTGTGAAGTCTATAGCATGTAGTTTTTATGGATGTGTTTGGATTTGTGATTGGGTCTCGTATGTGCTTGGAATTTGGTGCCAAAGTCACGTACGCCACGTGTTCGATAAAAGTTCACTTTTATGCTTATTTGGTTTCTTTTGATTTTTTTATTTCCTTCTTTTCCTTCGTTTCTTTCCTACTTGTTTGAGTGTCGTTGCATGCCGTGTGTGTTTTCATTCATGTTTATGTGATTGGATCATATGTGTTTCCGTGTGTGCATCTTCTCATATCATGTTGCATCGTGATGCGTGCATTTCACATTATGCTTATTCTTTTCATCTCTGCATGTGCCAGATGGCTCGTAAGTGCTCTCGTACCTCTGCACAGCCCGCTAGTGGATCGACATCTTATAGTAGATCCTGATTTATTTCTGCTACAGCTCAGGAGGTCTTCACGTCTCAATTCTCTTTACGCCCCGTTCTCATGGAGTGTGAGGTAATTCTATCTGACCTTCCTGTTGACGTCGCCGCTATTTTTGTTTCCCGGGGTTGGGAGCCCCTTCTTGTTGGTCTTACA